CTGGAACATTTAGATGTTGAAAAAGCTGCAAAAGCCATTCTGACACTCTGGTTAGGTGACCCTCATGTCCAGAAGCCCAACCATGGCCCACAGCCCATCTTGCATTACAGTGAGTTAGTTATCTTATCTTCCTAATTGCCACGAATACGTGATGGCAGTTACGTTACCATAATCCCGGCTAAGTGAGCCTCCATTCTTGCTTACCAAGAGTGTCTTCACTAAAAGGAGAGAGAACTCTACAGAAAGAAAAAACTTTTTTTAACAAAACTTTTTGTGGAGGCTGCTAGAGGTAAATCAAAACCACAAGATGGGGTCCAGCCGAGTGGCGCGATGGTTAAGAACTCGCTTGGGATGCCAGAGGGCCCCGGTTCGGATCCCACATATGAGGGCCAGTGACACTGCCCTCCACAGCTAAGATGATGAACAACAGCTCAACCTGGAGCTGGGCTGCTGAGAGTCACCAGCGACGGCGTAGGCTGCAGCCCCTGTGGCAGTGGGTTGCCATGGGCTACCGCGTGTAGCCAGCAGCCAGCGTGAGCGGCCAGCAGCCAGCGTGAGCGGCCAGCAGCCGCAGTGAGCGGCCGTCCAGAAGCCGGCGACTGATCTGCCTCACCCGGGAAGAGCGCAATGATGGTGCCAACTTGGGCCAGTGAAGCAACATCCTCCACAACTAGACTGAAGAACAAAATGACAGCAACTTGTCTGTCCCCCTTCCCCCAATTCCCCAGCACTGTTCACATCCCCCCAATTCACCAATAAAAATCTTTAAAAAAAAAACAAACACAAGATGGGTTTTCATGTGGAATCATCTTCTAGAAAAATATGATCATTTCTGATTTCTCATCATAAAAACTTCTGAGGAGCAAGTTTTCTTTGAAGAATTATTTATACCTTTTGTTTAGGAAGAGGAAAAGCCAAGATTATTTGACCGTAAATAACTTAAATGTACATACTGCTCTCTTGACTTTTTCTAGATATATGAGGCTATAAATTAATGAGTCCTTACCACATACCACCCAGGAAAAGCAGGCTTGTTCCTTGGCTAGCACATATGTTTGTATTTTGTCCATCAGTCCATAGGCCTTTTTCTCCTTATTGTCTGGAACCATAGGAAGCATCTCAGACACAGGAAAATTTGGGTAAATGTTAGTGTCAATTAGGACAAATTCCTCAAATCAACATTTCCATAACTTTTAAATTGTGCCTCCAAGACACAAAGGAGTGCTTGGATTTCCTATGGTGGGAACTTAAGGAAATTTGAATGCCAAAGTAGTAATTATAATCAATTCTCCCATTAACAGTCATTCACTATGAAGAGCATAAGCTATAGATTGTCTTACATAATCTCAATATACAAAATAGCCCTGTTAGGAACTTACAAATTAAAGTTACCTCATAATTAGTGGTACTTATCAAACTATCTCATATAAGTTTTTTACAATTCTTTATAATTCACCATTATTAAGACATACACTTAAAATTGTTTCCTCTGTCTTAAGGGTTCAAAATAGTGCCCCAGCCATCTTTTCCAGTCTTAGCTCTCAATACTCCTCTTTCCTTCCTTACTTTAAGTTACTTGCCTTTCTCTACCTTTGTAGGCAGTAACAATGCTCCTAGTAAAAAACCCTTCCCAATCATTCTGTTGCTTTAAGACAAATTTCCCTTCATCCCGGTACCCCTCAGGAATAATTCATCATTTTGTGCACCCATATCATTTACCCAAAGCTTCTTCTATATTTACTATATAGTGCATCATTTATTTTTCTTTCAAGACTGGAATCAAATTGTATTTATTCTCATTTTGTATTGCTTTAACATTCAATAATGCCTGCCACAGTGACTTACTGAAAGTACTGTACATTTTTATTTCATGAAGAAATGCTTGTGTACACTGTCATAATTTTTAACTCCCACCCACCTATCGCCAATGGCACTCATTACTGAGATGATTAACTGGAATACAGTTTATGGCACCAAAAAGATTATTTTCACTGTGAATCTGGCTCAAAAGAAATCAAATTTATGATTTTGAATTTTTAAGACCATGATCCAAATAAATCCATCCATACATAAAGTCATTACAAAAGAATCTCGAACCTAAAGGAAAATACATAAAACTGTATCGTGCATGACTGTATCATGGATGTCAGTGGTAGCTAGGAGTGCCATTCTGTCAATTTTCTCAAAATAATCATGTGATTTTCATTTTCTGGAAGATATTTACCAAATTCTAAATCACTATGGTTTGAAACTTTGAAACTTCATTTAATACCTAGAAGACACTAAACAATGTGACAAATTGAGTAACTATTTCAACTTACTTCTTTAGGTCCTTTTAGGAAGTCTCTGATTACCTGAGGTCAGCCTCCTCTCAAAAAAGCTCTGTCAGACATGGGTTTCCCATTTTGCTTTCCTCTAAAGATTGCTTCAATTTCTCAGCCAACTTTTATAAAACCTGTAGATTATATGTCTTGTGTTTTCTAAGTGCCTGATAATTAAACTTTCAACTCAATGATAATAACAAACGCAGAATTATGATTATATGTAAATATCAAAATTGAGATGAAAATCAACCTTGAACCTTAATTTCCAAGTCTCTGTCTACAATTCTGAACGTTTGCCTGAGTTCCAGGATCAAATCCTCACCTGCTTACTCCACATTTTCACTCTCACCACCTCAAATTCACTGTGCCCACAGGAAACGCTCCCTAAAGCCAGCCCTCCTGCTCCACCCAATTTTCCAGTCTCTTTTAACACATTAGTCTCAGTCACTGAGCCTACATATAGTGGTGGCTTTTGACCATTCCTTCTCATTTATCTTTTACATTCTGCCACATGGTTCTATGGATTTGCTTCAAAAGGACTCGTATCTAGAGTGAACTTATTGGGTTGTCGGAAAAGTCATTTGGTTGCATTTTTGCAACCAAAAACATAGAAAAAATACGTCATGACTTTTCCAACAACCCAATACATTGGTCCCACATCTCCAGCATCCTTCCCTTTGGGGAACCACCCCTCCTATTTGAGGTGAAGCTGTGAAGCATGGAAACAAGCATCCTCCCTTGGAAACAAGATGTGACCCAGGCCTGTTATTTCGTTATGTTATCCCTCTGATAAATGCAATTGGTAGGTTCATGCTGCAAGTGAGGCCAGTCGGAATTGCTTTCTTAGAACTTAGATATAATAAGTTATCTTTGCACTAGGGTTGCTAATCTAAGAGTATGTAATTTTGCAACCAGTAGGCATCTTCCTGACTATAGGCAGGAAGCCTATTTAGAGTAGAAAGAGAATGAGACTGAATCAAAGAAGGCATCAGAGCCAATAAGGGAAAGCAAAGAGTTTTGACATTGTTTGGGTCCCTGGAGCCAGCCATGCTTGAAGTCTATCCCGTCCCTGGATTTGCCAGTTAAATGAGTCAAATTTCAAAATCCTGACTCACCCACTTTCTACCTGGGTGAATTTGGATAGGCTACTTAACTTTTCTGTATCTCTCTTACCTCCTCTATAAAATGGGAGATAACATTTATACCTACCTCACAGACTTTTGTGAGGATTAGCATAGTAAATGCTCACAAATGTTAACAATGACTATGAAATGCCAGTGAATTCTGTTGTATAGTCTACTTTGAAATGAGGTCCTGTCACAATAGAAAGTGTACTGATGCCAGAGTTTCATTATCCTTCAAAATGTATTTTTGTTTTAAAGGTTTTATTCGGGAATTGGGGGAGGGGAACAGTGTTGGGGAATTGGGGAAGGGGACCAGCCAAGTTGTTGTTCTTCAGTCTTCGTTGTGGAAGGTGCCAGTTGCCATCTGGCTTCCTGTCGGCAGCTCGTGGCCTCTAAGCTCAAGGTGCTGTGTTCAATCTTAGTTGCAGGTGGGTGTAGCCACCATGCCATGTGGGAGTCAAACCAGCAGTCTTGTTAAGAGCACACAGTCTATCCACTGAGCCATCTGGGTGGCAGCTCAGCTCAAGGTGCCAAGTTCAGTCTTGGTTGTGGGTGGGCATAGCCCACCATTGAACAGGCAATCTTATTGTTACACCAGCTGAGCTATCCTGCCACCTGTTGGCCACTCAGCGACAGCTCAGCTCAGGTACAGCGTCACTGGCCCATGTGGGAATCAAACAGGCGGTCCTGTTGCTCAGAGCTTACACTCTTATGCCAACTCATAACCAAATGAGCCACTTGGCCAGCCCCAAAATGTATTTGAAGTCCATCCTTCCTCTGCCTTTCCATGATCACCACCCCCATGAGACTCTTGTTTTTGCTAGCTTGTCTGATTGTATCTTCACTCTCTACAATTCACCCTACTTACCAGTGCCAGAGTGACCGTCACTGAACATGATTTCATCATGGAATTCTTCGGCTCCATTTCTGTTCAGACGTTTCTCCCTGGCTTCCCAGGTTCCACCTTAATTATCCAATCTGAATCACCTCTCTCCCTAACACTCCGGTCAATCTTACATCTCCTACTTTTCACAAAATCATGCTTTGCTAATGCACATCCCTCTGTCTTACCTTGAGTCATCACCCTCACCCATCCCATTTTTTTCTCTCCAGTTAATCAGCTCCAATCATACAGATGCCGCCTCTTCTATGATACATTTTCCAACTATCTTGGCTTTCACTGATTTGAACTCTCCTTGAGATTCCCCTGTACTATAGGCTGCAATATGCAATTATAAACAATCCTGTATTGTGTCAGGTTGGTGTAACTAAGTCAATTAGAAAGTGAAGTTTTTAGGTTACATTTTTTTGACATGTCCCATAACTCAATGATAAGCACACAATAGACATCTAAATCAGGATTTTTTTTCATAGGGCCCAATCATAGCACTAACCATCACCACTTTTTAATTTTTAAACTATTCTGTAGCTTTAAGAGGGGTTTTCTTCAAATTAAGATAACTTTTAATAGTTACCTAATCTTGATGCAAAATCTCAATTCTGAGAGGCATATAAGTCTAAATGAAAAAATAAAGAAATAAGACAGTTTTAAGGTAGTTACATGTTTTTATTACATAAACATTAATCTATTCCTTGTGGGGGTTGGTCTTCCATTTGCTGCTTGCTTTCACAGAATGTCTAATATCTATAGGAATTGTCTAAGAATGATTTATGAAACATTCTCACATGCCCACCAAAAAAGCCTTAATGCCTATATTTTCCAGATTCCTGAGAAAAATAATGGGTTTTGTTTATTTTACAGTGTGATACATAAATTTCCCTTCAAGATTAAAAAAAGTAGACTTCTAAAATGAGTCTCCTTTCGTTTACAAAGTTTTATAAAAATACATTAAGTATGCTCATATGTTTGTCCTTTTACTTGAAAATATTCCAGTTTACCAGAAACAAAAAAATAACAATTAACAATGATATGCAAACCACATTAATCTTGTAGCAATATAATGTCAACATCATCATGAACACCTTGCAAAAGTAGCTCTCCTGTGTATGTAACAATCTTCCTTCGTTTTGCAGCTTTGAGAGTTCCTACCAATGCTTCAAAGAGGTTGGCACATTTGTCATCTCGGAAGAGGACCCCAAATTTCACACTTAACTTCCCATCAGCATCTAATTTGAGAAAATACAATGTTAGCCAATGCAAAGTCTGTTTCTTGCCCCGTGTATGGAAGAGTTACATAATATTTAATAAATACTTAACTATAGTTTAACCAAAATTACAATTTAACATTTAACAATCATAAATTCAATGTAACCTCTTGTCAGATCCAAAAAGTAATGGAAAAAAAAATTCATGTGTTGTTCACCTCCTAACATTAGTATCGTCTGGACAAAGACTGGAAGAGAACCAAGAAACATCTATAAACGGTGAATATGTTACAGTGCTACTATTGTAGACCAATACCTCTCTGTCTCAATTTCCATTTTTGTAATGATCATGTTAGTTGTTGAATCAGCAAAAATATGGGAAACCTCGGGTCTGGAGCAGCATTTCTCTAAGTGTGTTCTGAAGCACTCAGAACCCCCAGATGAGTTTCCTCATCTGTAACATGGGGGTCTTAACATTTCCTTAACAGTGCTGTTGAGTGACAGTTCTACAGCACACAGCACACAGCACACTGCCCAGCGCACACTGAGCACTCGAGCAATGATCATTGGCTCAGTCATGAGTGAGAGAAATGGGGGAGTGTGCCAAACCATAGTCACAGGTGAAGCAAGTAAGAGTCCAGGCACTGGGAACTAGAGTGACTCACCTCAACTAAACTATCTAAGATGAGAAGAAAAAAGAAATAAGTTTGTAAAGGAAAACTGAGAATCTAACCATGCTTGGCCTAGAAAACAAAGATGTACCTCTTTGACTTTTTCAACTTCTAGCATGACCCTCTACAAGAAGCATCTTTCACTGATTACAGAAATAAATAGAGCTGCTGGGTAACCTTGGGCAGGCCATTCAAGTTCTCTGAGCTGCAGTTACCTCATCCATAAAATGAGGGTAAAAATGCCCCTCACAGGGTTGTTACAAGGATTAAAAGATAGAATATAGGCAACACCTTTTAGAGGGTGCCTGGCATATGGCAAATTCAGGTTAACTTTTTTAAAGGCACCAAAGGCAGAAAGCTGGGTGTAATCTTGGAGTCCTCCTGCCCACTCACCCCACAATCTCGCAAGTGATTCCACTTTCTTTGTATCATCTGTTGCTCTCGCTTTTCCTCTCCATGAACAATTAATTTCTTGATTCAGGCCCAAATTAATCCTCATATGGGTAACTGCAAGACTCCTTACCAGCCTCCCTTTCTCCATTTTGCCCCCCCAATACATCCTCCATATTCATGAATTAAAAATATAGAAGAAACGTTGTAAGATGCAAACCTGATTGATAATATTCTACTCTATTCTTTCGATGGCTCCTTACCATCAAAGTGAAGTCCATGGCCTCACGACAAGACTCTTCGTCTTCTGGCCCTTGCACTCACCTCGCACCTGATTTTCTGCTATATTGTCCCATGCACCTTTTGATCCAGTTAAAATGAATGACTTGCTGTTACCCAAGAGGATATGAAAGATCCTGCCTCAGTAATTTTACCCATGTCGAGCCATCTGCCCAGCATCCCAGACCCCTTTCCCTAGTTAAGCTCTTTTTCTTCAAGCAAGGACTCAAATGTCACCTTCTCTGAGAAGTCCTCTGTGATTCATTCAATTGGGTTAATAGCTCTTCTTATAAATTCAAATATATAGTTGCCAAAGCAGGCACCATCAATTACAGTAATAATAGTGAACTTGTATTGAATGAATATGTGCTATGTTGCTAGGACCGTTCAATGCATTTTACAGTCACGAAAATGCACTTAATCCTCATTTCATCAAAGATAAGGTACAATTGATTTCAAGAACTATTATGATATCTTCCAATTAGACTGCCAAAATAACTATAACACACCATGCATTAGAAGATACATCCTTAGTTTAGAGATTTCAGCATGAATAAAGGATCTTTGAATCATTGAAATAGAGTATTATTATTATACAAATAAAGAAACCTAGGCACAGAAGTTTAGGAACGTACCTAAGGTTATACAGCAAGTGTGTAGAGGAGCTTGGATTCATTCTCAGAAAGTCTGACTCCAGACTTCCCAAAACAGGACTCAAGCTCTTAACCACTTCCAGTTAGTTTGCCTGTCTCTCTGCTACTTAGAGACCCACAAGGGCTACGATAGAGTTTCACTTATTTTCATATCTCTAGCACTTAAGCACAAAGGCAGCACTCAAGAAATATTTGTTGAATGAAAGAATTTATAGCTTCAAATAATCTTTATCCATTTAATTTTTTTTCTACTGAATGAAAAATGAGAAAAGGATTGTATTTTGTAAGAAACAGATATAACTAAATTCATCAATGTCCACCTTCAGCAAATATATCCTATTTAGATTAGTCTAAATATGATTAATCTATATTATAATTTATATTCATCAAAATTATTCCAGACACAACTTAAATAATTAACCATAACATGTCAGTAGATCCCATATCTCCATAGATGCTTTCCAACTCATCCGTCATCTCTTACAAGGACCAGGTAAGTCATAGAGGACTGGTTAAGCTGCAATGTTCAAAATATTTTCATCCATAGAGAAATGATAATGACTTTGGTGTCTTCTAGTTTGTATAGCTGCTAATTTTGAAGTGCAGAATGAGTTGATCCTAGTTGACCACTAACACTTTTAAATGCAATGAACCAATAAGCGCTAAGCTGACATGAAGAACAATGTAGGAGAGACAAGAATCTCATAAATCTTTGGAAATACATCTTTAATCCCTTTAACAAACCAAACAATTGCACTACTCCCAGGGGTAACCTGACCTCACAGAGCTCAGGAGAAATTCGGAATATAGAAATGAGGACCACATATAGGGGCATCACTGTTGAAAACAATACTCACCCAACTTCCCTCAAGTGGGTGGGAGAAAAATGGGGTTAGGAAAGATTGTTCATCTGTATGACTGGGGAACTAAACATCCCCCACTGTCTCCTCAGCACTCTCCACAAGCATCCCAAATGCAGCTCAGCCACTTCCTCCTAAACTGACATGCCCTACACTTCAAAGTCTTGCCGGAGAGTCAAAACTTCATTGAGTGCCCTACAGCTTTCAATGATCTGTCTCTCTGGGACCATTCTAAATTGAATGTCAGCACTTCGCAGGTTAGCATACCATTGTTTTCTGATAATTGCCTCATGAGTTTTCAATCTATTTTTCCTAACTCAGTAGTGAGATTCCTGAAGCACAGGGGCACACACTTTATGTCACTTGTACTTACACAGTGCTTGGCACACACAGATTCCCAACAAATAACAACTGACCATATGATTCAAATCAGGTGTTGAGTTTTATATGCCAACTTTTATATGCCTCGTTTATCTTTTCTCAGTCTATTTCAGTGAGGGTGTCTCAGGTTTGATGTGGAAGTAAAGTGAATAGATAAGACCAAAAAGTGCAGATAGGAAGAATAATGACCCCCATAGAAATCCATGCCCCAATCCCCAGAACCATGGATATGTTGCCTTATATGGCAAATGAAACTCGGTAGATGTGATTAAATTAAGAGCCCTGAAATGGGGAGATTTTCCTGGACCATCTGGGTGAGCTCTATGTAATCACGAGTGTCCTTAAAAATGGAAGAGGAAGGCAGAAGACGAGGTCACAGTGATGCAATGTGAGAACTCAAACCAGCTGTTGCCGGCTTTGATGACGGAGAAAGGGGGCCACGAGCCAAGAATGCAGGCTACCTCTAGAAACTAGAAAGAGACTAGGAAACAGATTCTCTAGCGCTCCAGGAAGGAATGCACCCTGCCAACACCTTGATTTCAGCCCAGAGAGACCCTTATCAGACTGCTTTGGTCCGAATGTTTGTGTCCCCACAAAAACTCATGTGTTGAAATCCTAACCACCAAAGGTATGATATTATCAAGTGGGGCCATTGGGAGGTGCTCAAGTCATTTGGGTGTAAGAATGTAAAGTCATGAATCAGGGATTAATGCCTTATAAAAGAGGGTGCAGAGAGATCCCTAGCCCCTTCTACCATGTGAGGATGCAAGAGGGAGTCTGTGACCTGGAAGAGGACTTACCCCAACCATGCTGGCACCCTGATGGCGGACTTCTAGCCTCCAGAACTGTGACCAATAAGTGCCTGCTGTTTAAAAGCCACCCAGTCTGTTGTATTTTGTTATAGCAGCCCAAATGCACTAAGACAGACTACGTTACTGTTAAGATAGTAAATGTGTTGTTTTACATCACTAAGTTCATGGTAATGTTATAGCAGCAATAGAAAACTAATACAGGGGCATTTGATATGAATGGCTTAATGGGAATTTCAAAGTATGTCTTGTTATTTCAAATGATTTGTGATTCATCAGCAGACAGAGCTATAAGTAAGAAGAATCAAACTATAATGACAAGACAACTCTTGAGGTAATTTAAAGCCACTTTACATTGATATGATGTAATTTCATAACTTCTTAGTTCCATTATCCTAGTTGTTGCTGAATATGTCTGTTGGTCTTACAATTTTCAAAATGCTCCCCAAACCTTGCATGTCTTATCTGAGATGCAAAAATACCCAAAGCTACAAGCACAATAGTAACTTTCATTACAACTTAGGAAAAAGATATTAATACTACCAATTTTACATGTCACTAATTTCATGGTAGCTGCTTATATGCTGCTGAAGAAAAACCTGACTTAAAAAAAAAACTACCTAAAGGATGGTTTAGGTATACGTACATAAATACTTGATCATATAAAACTCAAGAATCTGAAGAAAGTAGAGACAATTGAGTATAATTTCACTCTCAGTCCCTAGTCATTTGGAAGTTTGTAAAATGCTGGCAAGATAAAGCAGAAAAATGAATTTTAATGGTGTGACAAATGAAAATTTGAACATGATTCAATTACCAGATTTCAATGCAACCAGATTCAACAGGCACAGCAATTTTCTTTCCACTCAAAGGATCATGAAATATCTCCACCATTCACTATACCTCAATAGCTTTGTGTCTCCAGATATCACTGCATGGCAGAAGGCACTTGTCACCTAGGACAAGGGTAGAGCTTTCATAACTGTGTCCTAAGCCCTGGTGAGCCCTTCACAGACTTCTACCAAAAAAGGTGGTCCTACTTGCTTTAATGTAAACTCAATAGAAATACTGTACCTGTGTTATAATACTTACTTTTTGAACCTAGACGATGAATTTCCTCCACTAAGAGGTTAACTTCATGATCCACATTCATTGCTGCCTGACAGAAAAAAAAAAAGTTTGTAGTATTATCATTTCTACATTCCATTAAGCATATCTTGCCAAATCCAAGGGCCCTTTCTTTACTTGTGTAGCATTGTCACTGTTAACTTACCGTGTCTCCCTTCCTAAAAATACTTGTGTGATATACATGGCACTAGAGTCCCTCCATTTTCCCTCCATCTTTATAACTTCCCCTCTGAGCTGACTTCACTCGTATTCTACACAGTCTATTGGGAAGAATACAGCCATTTTCCTTGTACCCACTATCGACGCTGAGCCCATCCTCTTGACGGTGCTCTGCTTGCCACCAAAAATATAAAGGTGAGCAGTACAGGACCTGCCCTCAGGGAACTCACCCTCCAGAAGCAGAGAAAAGCCTGGAATGCATAACAATGTGACAGCACTCATTGAGTGATGGGTCCAAGGCACAAAGGAGAAAGCCACACAAGGCTTTGCGGAGGTCACTGGGGAGGAGTAGACCAGGTAGACAGTTGGGAAAGGGTGTTCTATGCTTGGGGAAGAGCATATGTTAAAGTACAGAAGCAAAGGAGAAAAAGCAGGCCCTAAGTTAGGAGCTGGAGCTACCAAGATAAAAAGACACACTCCCTCCCCTCTGGGAGCCTACAGTCTAGTAGGCAAGGCAGACCAATACAAGGCAATTTTAATAATGTCAGGTCAGGGCAATCATTACTTCTGGGTCACACCCAGGGACAACATGTCCTTCCCTGGACAATGTCCAGTACAACCTGACTGTAATGGAGAGCTTGTGGGGAAGACCATTCATCTTCAGATAAGGAGGAGTCCAGGACTAACGGGAGCTATGAAACTTACCTTAGGTCACTAGGCCCTCCATGGGCCGGGTTCTGCCCACCATTTCAGCTTCCTCCACTCTACTGTCAACTGTAGGGTGCAGTTACATAGAGCTTCTTTTTATTCCTTAAATGTCCCTCAATCTCGCACCTTCACACATACTATTTCTTCAACCCAGACCATGACTCTTTGTCTTTCTTGAGGCTAACTCCCACACATCCAATCCCAGCTTAGATATAACTATTGGGTCTTCGGAAAAGTCATGACACATGTTTGCAACAGATAGCACTAGTTCATTTTTGGAAGTACTAGAGCAGCGGTTCTCAACCTATGGGTTGCGACCCCTTTGGGGGTCGAACGACCCTTTCACAGGGGTCGCCTAAGACCATCAGAAAACAAAAGGATATTTACATTACGATTCATAACAGTAGCAAAATTACAGTTATAGGGTAGCAATGAAAATAATTTTATAGTTGGGGGTCACCACAACATGAGGAACTGTATTAAGTGGTCGCGGCATTAGGAAGGTTGAGAACCACTGTACTAGAGTCATTTGCATCTACGTTATTGCTATGTCATTTGACAGCTGACAGGTCAAGCTTCATTTAAAAAAATTTGAGCGATTTGGTTGAGTTTTGGAGATTTTACAATAAGTTGAAGAAGGAAGACCAAACTGCATTTTTGCCATATTTTACTATTTTATTTCCATAAAGAGAAGAACGTGTGTCAAGCTTGTGAAAAGTTGCATCAAGTTTCTGGTGACAATGCTGTACAAGAATGTCAGTGCCAATGATGGTTCACGAAATTCCGTGCTGGTGATTTTGATCTCAACGACGCTCCTCGGTCAGGAAGGCCCACCGAGGTTGATGACAACAAAATAAAGGCATTGATCGAGTCAAACCCATGTTACACGACACAAGAGATTGCACAAACATTGAACACCCATCATTCAAGCATTCACAGCCACCTGAAGAAGTTGGGATACGTAAGCAAGCTCGATATTTGGGTTCCGCATGAACTCAAAGAAGTTCACTTGATGGAGCGTATAAACATCTACATGAGGAAAACGATCCTTTTTTGAAGCAACTGATAACTGGTGATGAGAAGTGGATTGTTTACAACAATGTGGTGTGCAAACGGTCTTGGTCCCGAAGTGATGATTCGCCTCAAACGACGTGGAAAGTAGACATTCATCAGAGGAAGGCTATGCTCTGTGTGGTGGGATTTTAAAGGTGTTGTGTTTTTTGAGTTCCTACCAAGGAAACAAACAATCAACTCGAATGTGTACTGTCAGCAATTGGACAGTTTGAATGAATCCATCATCCAGAAATGTCCAGACCTTGTTAATTGTAAAGGAGTTGTGTTCTATCGCGACAACGTGAGACCACACACAAGTTTGATCACCCATCAAAATTATTGGAGCTTCTATGGGATGCATTGCCACACCTACCATACTCGCCTGACCTTGTGCCATCAGACTTCCACTTCTTTTGCTCTCTTCAAAACTCCTTGTGTGGTATAATGTTCAATTCAGATGCGGCCATAAATCAGCACCTTGTTCAGTTTTTTGCAAATAAAGACTGGAACTTCTATGAACGAGGAATTATGAAGCTCACTGAAAGGTGGCAAAAGGTTATCAAACAAAACAGGCAATATATCATTGATTGATCTTTGTTCTTTATATAAATAAATGACCTTTGAAAAACAGACAAAATACGTCATGACTTTTCCGAAGACCCAATAATTCCAGGAAGCCTTCCATGAGACCTGGAGCAGGAGAGCTCCCCCACTGTGTGTTCCAGGAGCACTGTCCGACCGCCCTCTTCATTTCACTTGATTAGAAATTACCAGCTTTTACCACTAGCTGGTAAGCATCTCTAGGCAGGGATCTGACTGTAATGCTCTCTGCAGGATCACATCTGGCACCGAGGATACAGGTTCAATAAATATTGGTTTCACAGACTGAAAGGAGCAAAAGGCATGAGCGGGGATGGAACTACAACTTTGGGAGCTGTCACTGTAGAGCTGCTGACTTAAGAGGGGAACAGAGGGGTGCTCATGGAGGAAGAGTGCTCAAAGACAGAAAAGGGAAGGTAAAAAGGGCCTGGAAAACACCTACAGAAATAAGGAGAGAAATCTCAGCAAGAAATGGAAAACAGCAGGTAGAGGTGGAGGACAGAACCGTGACCGAGTTGGGTAGAAGAAGTAAAGGAAGAAAAGTTTCCATTAAGAAAGCAGCAATTTACAGTGAAAACGGCAACATGAGGGTTGGGAAGTATGAACAACTGGGCAGAATATGCATCAATTCGGTCTGTTTTCAAATCCTAAATTCTCCACATCAAGTCAGGGGCTAAAAAAGTGGGGATGTGTATGATTTACTTTGGAGTGGCAATTTGGAAGAAACAACTTTATCCAGATTGTAACTAATTCCTGGTAGCTTTTAAAAACATGAATGGCATCTATGTTTAACTTATATTGCTTGGGACCCCAGGTTTTCCATCAGCTAATAATTAAAAGTACCATCTGTCAAGTGCTTCATTATACACGTATGTGTGAATATTATAGTTTAAGAAGCTTGTATTGCAATAAAATGCAACATCTTAGGTTCATGCATCTACATAAAACTATCAAAACTTATAGCGTCCAAATATTAGGAACTTTGTGTTGGTGAAATTTTATCTATAACATTATATTCAATTCAAGATATAGTTTAAGAGAGATACTCCAAAGCCAAAACACACCCAGAGGATACAACTGAAAGATATACCATGAAAATAATGGTAGGAAAAAAACCTATGTCAGTGTGTTGGACAGCTGTCATTTTTACCTGCCCAGCACCCATTCCCCATCTGGCACGAGCAATCTAATTCTTGTTTGGATTAAGTCTTCCTTCATTACTCTAAACACAGGTATCTTGGGTAGAGTCTCAGCCTAAACTCCAGGAGTGGTTCAGAGCCAGAATAATTGATTTGGGGCATAGTCTGGTGATCCCATCATGAACAATGAGGTTTAACCCAAGGATTTTGCCAGAACTATTAGTAAAATGACACTGTCCTACTGGATTCTAAGATGTAAGTTTACAGCCCCTGTTGTAATCGGCTGCCAAGTGGGAAGAACACTGTCAGGAATAAAGGTAGAACAAAGAAAAGTCCAATCACGTAACAGTGATCGAACCTGTACATGACCCTGATTTTTCAGTTACATAGACCAATCTTTCCTGGTTTTGCTTGTGCTATTTGAATGAGTTTCCGTCATTTGCACTCTAAAGACTTGACCCAAAAAGTTAGCCTAGAGAAGACCTGCCACTATTTTTTTCTGTTTTAAATTAAAGCTCCTTTTATGTACTTATGCGAACAGTCTTGTTTTGTGTTGCTCTATTGGGTAGGAGGATAGATGTAAGAGAAAGGCAGATTTGGGAGCCATATAAGAAAAACGTTTCCCTAACAATTAATAAAATGTGCACCCTGTTACTAGAAGCATTAATGCAGATGTACTATGGATCTATGAGGGTTGATGAGGAAATTCGCCCTCCGTGGACTTCTGCAGAATGAAACGCCCAAGGGGATTATGGTCTTCTCTAATTCTCAGATTCTATGATTTCCTCCCCCTCTAAAACTTACTCTTTAACACCATTCCCCACTCCTTCCACCCACCACCAGCTGCACACTTCAGACATAGCTCTCTTTGAATAATGAGACTCAAAGAGGAAATCCCACTATTATGTATAGTGTGAATACCTGCATCCTATTAAACAGATGCATGCTCATCCAATTTTAAGAAAAGGCAACCAGCATTTCTTTATAATTAATTACACGCGAGGCTCCTTATCTATGTTAATTCATGTAATCCTAAGAGCTTTGCAAAGTATGTATTATTTATCCCCATTTTATGAATAATGAAACTGGCTCAGAGGGACTCCCCACAATCAAGTGCTATTTCTACCACAGTGTGGTTCTTCTCCTTCTCGCCATCCCTGTCCTCCTGCTTTTCCTTTTTCTTTGCTGGTTATTATGCAAAGTGCACTAAATATAATAGCGAGTTGTATCTGTATGAACTGTTACATGCTGAGTACTTACCAAAGCAGGACACTCACAGAGCAAGGGAAGTTCTCTGCCCAGACCCCTCCAAGTAGGAACACTACAGGCGTGGGAACTATTGCTAGCACACATAATTTGGCATGATGTATTTATTTATTTTATTACTTAGCAGGGGTAAGGGGGAGAAATAGCTACACAATCCTTGGAAGCAGGAGCAAACTACATGGCATTTTGTCAGTACACGCACCTGGGGCTGGAGAAAGCAGTAAGATCAAAAATCATGAGAGGCCATGAGCTGGGCAAGTCTAACTGGAAGAAAGAGCTCATTCGTCGATGGGGGAAGGAAAGTGGGGGGGGGGACTCAAAGGAAGGCGATGGCAGATGCTAGGCGAGCCCTCTAATTGTGACAGAATCTAATTAGGCGTTGTGCGTGGGAATCACAAAGAAAGCGGCACGTCAGAGGGCTGGGCATATGCTGCAATGCTCCACCATCAGTATACACTTAAGCATCTATTTAAAGACCCTGTTATACTTTTGTTTTTCCTTCTTTTTTTTTAAGGTTGGAGACAATACATGAAATTTTCTAATGTATAAAACAATAAAGCCTAATGGAGTAGGGGCGTCTGGGAATCAGAAGCCAACTCTACATACCAGGGCTGGCCACTTTTCCAGCCCACCTACGCTATCCAAGACCAGCAGCTGGTGCGGGTCAAAGGATGACTGGGTTCCTTCCTGCCAGCTCGCAGGCGCGCGCACACTCCATATTTGGTCATCCCTGCTCCAAGTTTGGGAACTGGCCCCTACGGCGTCCCAAGACCCTGTCCCCTGCAGGCAACCATTCAATCACCACCGGCACCGAGGCAGAGCAGGGGAGCTCCGGGCTCGGCCGCCTGCCCCGGGGCAGCACGGCGGGCTCCGGTGCAGCCTCCCCGCGAAGGGCCGAGTCCCGGAAGCCTTTGTCTCCGCACCTCCAGCGCCAGCGCCGCGGGCTCACGCTCCAGGTGCCCGGTGCGCCCCGGCGCGTAGCGAGAGTGAGCGCCCAAACTGGGCAAGGAAAATGGACGCCACTCCGGGTGCCGGAGGCCCTTAGCGTCTTCTCACGAGCCCCTACCCCACATACAGCCGGGAAGCACAGAGCCGCACCCGCCGGCCGCGCCGCAGAGTGCGCTGCCCTGAGGCCACCACATTCCTCGGGGGAGCCTCTCCCCGCACGACTGGCCTTTCCCCGCCCAGCTCTGCCTAACTGTCTTCCGACCCCGCCAAATGCAAAGCTGACACGTTGCACCGCGGTAAAAATCGGTGCACCGCTGCTGACTTCCCCGTCCGCCCCGGCCCGCAAAGCGTCACGTGAGCAGGGTGCGGAAGTCCGAGAGAGGCAGGGGCGTGTGGCGCTCCCACCCGGGCGCTGGCGCGGTCTCGGCCGATTCTAGGTGTCACCTCCACACGCCTAAAACCCCCTCCAGCGCCGGCTTTCCACCCGCAGTCTACGATTCCCCCTGTTCTTGGCCTCCGCCGGATACACGGGTCCATCCCTTATACCTGGTCACATCGTCCCAGGGGACTCACCGCTCTGCCTCCTTTTCTTTTCCAATGAAAAACTGGTGCAGCGTCGGCCGGACCTGGTTATCTTAAGCGCACCGAGGAGGAAGAGGCTGAGAAAGGAAGTGACTGAGGCAAAGAAAAAGGCTGGGGTGCAGCAGGAGGCGGAGGCGGAGCGGGCGGGGGTGGGGGTAAGAGTTTAAGCGCTCAGGAAAGGGGCCGCCCACACTCCGGGGACAAGCCTATGAGAAGCAAAGTCGGGAGAGGAGACGCTGGAGAAGGGGGCAGACGCCAGACAGGTGGCAGAGCGCCCGAGACTTCTAGGAAAATGGACCCACAGCTTTGATTACTGCCTCCTTTCCGCGGTGCTGGTCAGAGCCACTGGTCCCCAACACCCTGAAGCAGATCCTTGGCGTGATTTCCTGCCAAGATCTCTCTCCTAACATACGAAATAAAGCGCCCTCAAAGTGCTGAATGTTGAGGTCTCCTAAGAGGAATCTGACATTGGTTCTGTGTGCCTGGAGCAGAGCCTCCAGAAAACTGCATGTCAGCAGGATGGTCTGATTTGCAAAACAAAACTCACCTTGAAAACCAATTTGATTTACTGCAAGGAAATTTCACTTAGACAAAGGTGTAAGGGTGAAATTCCGTAAATCAATAGTAATTAGACTTAGCTAGTTAGCAGTTTGACTCACCTCATAGCCCACTATCTAGGCACTTGAAGTTAAACTTAGCTGGTTTGCAGTTAGAGCCATCCTCATATTCAGCTGTTTGCTCTTTGTTTCTCCCCTCACTGATTAACTTAAAAACTGTTTTGTTCCCTTCTGAAGGCTACAACATACCTCATTAATCCATTTAATCAGCAGAATCCTAACCTGGAAAGGGCAATTTCTTAATTCTCAGGCTACCAGACACCGAAATCCAATTTGCAACTCCCTTGCAGTTTTCCATGGTGACACACAAAGCCCCAGGCTGCGGTGGTGGAGCTGAGTAGGAGTCCAGAGTCTATCTTCAAACAGACCAGACCCCAGGATGCGATGTCAGCCCTCGGACCCGCTTGAATGACTCCCCCTTTTCTTTGTTCTTCTTCTTGTGTATCTATAAAATCTTCTAACCTGTCTAAGAACAAGGAGGTGGCCTTTGGACAGGAGTCTGCCATCCTCCCAGAATGCAGCATTCTGAATAAACCTGCTTTTCTTTCCACCAACCTTGTCTCTCGATTGTTAACTTTTTCAAGCGGCAAGCAGCCAGACCTTAGTACAGGCCTTGATCCTGGGTCAGTGTAAGTTTCTTCCCTTATTCATTACTTCATACATTTAACTGCATAATGCGGTCAACTTATTCAAACTCCCTTTATTTTAGTCATTTTTTGTTTTTGCGCGCACGTGTGTGTGTGTGTGTGTGTGTGTGTGTGTGTGAGAGAGAGAGAGAGAGAGAGAGAGAGAGAGAGAGAGAGAGAAAGATGCTTTACCTGGGGTCCCTTCAGAAAGAAAACCGAGGCCCTGCTGAGAAAAGTGACCAAAATGATTCATAGGACAGAGGTTGCACAAAGAGCTACCCCAAAAGCAGCCCCCTCCAAAACCTGATTGGTTTAAGGGTGATCATGTCACCCCAGAGCACAGAGTCCAGAAACTGGTCATCATCCCAGGAGGTGACCTGGAACAAACAATTCTCACCAAATAGTGGCTCTGGTAGTGAGGTAAGCCAATCAGATTCCCCCTTGGAAATCGAAAGGGGGAGAATACAGAGAATGAGCCATCGGATAGAACGGCTGAAGCTAAGAGAGGTCCTGAGGCAGGAGTAGTGAAAATGCGGCTCCAAAAACAAAACATTTGGGTAAGCAGAAACCGTGAGAATGAAGTAGAAGGTGGGTGGGGGCTAGAGTGGTGGAGACGATTGTAAGAGAAGCCGAGACCTAGTGATGGAATTAGAGCAACAAAGGCCTGCTCCCCAGGGGGATATGAACGTCCACTTCCCAAACTGTTCTAGTTACACTTTCACAGTTCAACACCAATCACCCTGGGCATGACTTTGAATGAACCTCTGTTCCCCACAACCAAAAAAATATATATATACAGGTAGACACTTGGTCAGCGTTGCTCAAGCAGTTCACCGTAATCAGAAGTGTATGGACGCTGATGGTAACCACCTGAGCACCTCTGGTAATTAAGAAGTCAAACGTGACCTGTATTCATCTTTTGTTATCGGTATATATTGAGTATTACAATTTTAATACAGTTTTCTTTTCTTAAAAAAAAAAAAAAGTCAGCTATGCCATTGTAGCGTGAAAGCAATGTGTAACCAATGACCATGGCTGTTCCCCAATAAAATTTTTTTAAAAATCGGGAAAAAAAATTACTCAAAGGTCTAATTCAGGTAGATTTCTCACATCACATGAAGTTCAAGGTGGTGACAGGATCCCTTGAGGCCTATTTTTTTCTCCTTAAAAGAAATCTGAGAAGTTATATCTTTCAAAGTCTACATGATGCAAAAATTACCATTCAAGAAAAATATCATATTTAGCATTTATCCAAGCAGGACCTGGCTATTTTAGCCAGTGTCAGCACTCACAATTCTTCAATCAGATAATATCCAATGAAACGAATAATCAATCTGTAGTGTGCCACTTCTGTTATGACTTAGTAATTAGTGTGTTATAATATTCTGCCAGTGAGCAAAAGAAGAAATGTATTACCTAAATAAGTAAAAGTCCTTGTTAGTATAAAAATGGGTTCATTCTTTAAAAATACTTTGTTTAGGACTGGCCGAGTGGCGCGATGGTTAAGAACTGGCTTGGGATGCCAGAGGGCCCCGGTTCGGATCCCACATATGAGGGCAAGTAACACAGCCCTCCACAGCTAAGATGCTGAACAACAACTCAACCTGGAGCTGGGCTGCCGTGAGTGGCCAGCCACTGCGTAGGCTGCAGCCCCTGTGGCAGTGGGTTGCCATGGGCTACCGTGTGTAGCCAGCAGCCAGCGTGAGCGGCCCTCAAGCCGCGGTAAGCGGCCATCCAGAAGCCAGCGACTGATCTGCCTCACCCAGGAAGAGTGCAATGATGGTGCCAACTTGGGCCAGTGAAGCAACGTCCTCCACAACTAGACTGAAGAACAAAACGACAGCAACTTGTCTGTTCCCCTTCCCCCAATCCCCCAGCACTGTTCCCATCCCCCCAATTCCCCAATAAAAATCTTTTTAAAAAAACAAACAAAAAAACTTTGTTTATACATGTGCTGTGGTAAACAAAACATAAACTTCATGTTAATCTATAAGGAATTACAATTCAGGAAAGTTGTTTTTGATGAAAGAAATATTATAAGTTTTGCCAACTAATATTTTTCATACCCAATTCCTACTCTTCCAGTTTCCATTCAGGCATTTCTTAATCTTTCAGGGATATTATCATCTCGTAGGTAAACAATGTGGAATTTTAAACTAAAAAGCAAAAAATAAACTTCATCAAACAGTTAAGAAGTAGTCATTAATTAACAAGCATGTGCCAGCCACAGTGTACCAGTCCTGGAGGGTACAAAGCAGCCTACAGCATGATCTTTGTCAAAAAGAACTTTCAGTAATGTACACATAAAATATTAAGATAATCTTTCCACTTTTATTTAATTGCATAGTATAGGCCAGCATTGTCCAATAGAAATACAATTGAGAGCTACATCTGTAATTTAAAATTTTCTAGTAGCCACATTAAAAAAGAAACATATGAAATTAATTTTAATAATGTTTTATTTAACCCAAGATATCCAAAATGTTATTATTACAACCTGTAATGGTTATTTTAAAATGATTACTGAGTAAAGATATATGTACTCCAATGTTCATTGCAGCTTTATTTATGGTGGCCAAGACATAAAAACAACCAAAGTGTCCTTTGATAGATGATTGATAAAGAAGATGTGGTATATATATATATATATATATATATATATACCACATCTTCTTTATATATATATATATATATATAATCGAATACTATTCTGCCATAAGAAAAGATGAAATAGTGTCATTTGCAACCACATGGATGGATCTTGAGATTATAATGCTAAGCAAAATAAATCAGAAAAAAAAGTAGAGAACCATATGATTTCACTGTTATGTGGTGTATAAAACTGAAAACAACAAAAGAACAAGAAGACCAAATGAAGAAACAAACCTCATAGACACAGACAATAATTTAGTGATTAACAGAGGGTAAGGGGGGAGGAGAGTGGTGGATGAGGGTAAAGGGGATCAAATACATGGTGATGGAAAGAGAACTGACTCTGGGTGGTGAACACACAATGTGATATGTAGATGATGTATTACAGAATGTACACCTGAAACCTGTGTAACTTTGCTAACAATTGTCACCCCAATAAAGTTTAATTAAAAAAATAAAATAATAAAATGAAATAAAATAAAAATGATTACTGAGATATTGTACATTATTTTGTACTAAGTCTTTGAAGTCTATTATGTATTTTACATTTATAGCACATTTCAGGTGTTCAATGGATATATGTGGCTATCAGCCATGGTCTTGGTCAGCACAGGTATAGACACTTCCAGAATAAAGCATGACATATATACTAATAATTTTGCTTAAGAAATTACATGTTCCTGGAATGAGAAAAATTATAACATTATATTTAACGGTTCATGAAAAATCGAAATATTCATTTAAAAATATATAATTGTCACCACTGCAGTGCATAGAAAAAAATCTTTGTAAAGGATCAGTGGTGTTAGAAGTTAGGATAGTGGTTATCCTTGTTGGGTGGTGGGTGGTAGCAACTAAGATGGGGCATGAGGGGGCCTTATGGGTGCTAATAATGTTCTGCTTCTTGCTGTCTGTGCTGGTTAAACAGGTGTTTTGTTTTGAGAATTCCTTAAGATGGACATTTAAGATAAATATTATTTTTTCTGTGGCTGTGTTGTTTTTTAATAAAACATTTTTAAATATGAAGAATAGAGGCCTATCCCAGGAATGTAACGGTTACTCAACAACATTAGGAAATTTAATACTCCCCTATAGCAAGTAGTCCCTAAATTTTATCTTATTTCTTCAAATGAGATTTCTCATTTGGACCTGTCATTCTAGTACAGACTATCATCACCACGAGCTCATATTAATGTTGATAATGGTAATAATAATGATGATTGCACGTCTTGGGCGCTAATTCTTGATCCAGTTGTAGTAC